AGCTCAGTTGGGAGAGCGTCAGACTGAAGTCAACTTCAATCACTTAATCTGAAGGTCGTGTGTTCAATCCACACTGGCCGCACGTTTCTTTTTAAGTTTTGTTCCTATTGACATCCGGATCGCTTTGTTTGTGATGGCCAGCAGCCAGCAAACAGGTTTTGAGTGGTAAAGTTTTGCATATGTTTTGTTTAATTTTCTTTCTCTCCCGTTTGCTCTGATGATAAATTGGCCGTTTTAGACTTCGTACCCGTTTGGCCCGTGCTCTTTGCCGGCAACGTCGTGAGCCTTCCTCACAGCGACATGGAACAGAATGAAATTGAGAATTTCTACATTGCATCACAATCTCAGGAACAAATGGAAAACTAACGTACGGATATAACACGCTGTCCGTCATTCTACTGTTTCTGGCAGCGGCATTTATGTGAAGTTTCACGCCTAGCCACTGAGAGAGCGTTCATGAGCGCAAACTCGTCATCCAGACCATTTCCTAACTAGCCCCGGCTTGCACGACATATTCCATTCGCATCTTCATACAAGCCAAGTCGAGATCTTCCAGACCCGCGACAAACCACAATAGGCGCCCCCGGGCAGCACCCACATTACGTGTAGATCGGACTACGCAACGCCTCTGGCTCAGCTGTCACAGCTCAGTCGAAACAGGGGAAAATGCGGGGGGCTAAGGAGCGAAGTAACGTCAGAGAACCGTGAGGCTCTCTCTCTCAAGAGTCAGTACTCCATAGAGAGCTCTCTCTCCCCATTTTCCGCCTCTCCTCAGGAGCCAGCGCATCCGTGATTCGACTCCTTGCTCCCTCCCACCGCATCTGGAGGCCTGGGCGGCTCGGTAGACATGGGTTTCCAAAACATGTCCCGCTGCACGTTCAACACCCGGCCGACGGTGGGCGGGTCCGGGTTCGCCTTCTTTCTCCCCAGAAAAATAGCCATGAATTGAAGCTTATAGACGCCTCATCAAGGGGGTCCGACAAGGCTGGTCGCGTGAGGTTCGGTGGCTCTGGATTGGTTCGTTCAAATTGTTTGCCTTGTTACGGAGTACTTTTAAGGTATTCAAGGTTTTCCATCACACCCGGCCAGGGGAGATGAGGTAGGTGTCTCCATCCAACAGGGGGCGGAAGAAGAAGAAGAAACCCCATGTCCGTGTTTGAGATTTTCCGGACGACGGGCATGCCATCTAAACTTCCGATGTAGCGGAATGCTTGTCGTTGGTATTGGCCAAGATCGGATGTCTGACGCCCAGCCGTCTGGTCTCCTGGGCGTGAGCGATTGACGCTCTTGCTTGGGCTGGTGAACTTCTTGTTGGCCCCTCTGATGGGACAGCACTTGTGGGCGAAATGGACGGGAAGTATAAGGATCGGGACCATTCTTCGAGCTGAGCATGATCATTTCCTTTCCCTCCTCAGTCACTGTGTGATCCAAGTCGGTGCTCTCTTTCTTGTTTGTAACCTTCATTCCAGTGCTGTGCACTTTTTCGATTCGGCCAATCCCATCTTTATCCAACCTTCCTATTATCCTCCTCCTTCTTTCCTAGGTATCTATAGGAAAGCGGCGCATACCTCAAGATGCGTTACACAACCATCACTCTCCTTGTTATTGGTCTTCTCACAGGCAATGCCTTGACTGGTAAGTCATTCGCTCAGCATTCCTCTATACACCCTCCTCTCAAGAGAGACTTTGCAAGACTGACATGGATTCCGTACAGCACCTGCTCCTCAATTCGGTGGCGGCGGCGGCGGCTTCGGAGGTGGCCGTGGTGGTGGCGGTGGTGGTAGAGGTGCCGTAGGTGGTGCAGGCGGCGGCGGTGGCGGCCGAGGAGGCTTCGGCGGTGGTGGCGCCGGTGGTGGCGCCGGTGCCGGAGCCGGAGCTGGTGCTGCTGGTGCCGGCGGTGCTGGAGGAGCTGGCCGTGGAGGCGGCGGTGGCGGTGGCGGCAACAGAGGTCAGAACGCCGGCCAAAACGGAGCCGGCAACAACGCCGGCAACAACAATGCCAATGCCGGCAACGCCAACGCCGGCCAGAACAACAATAACAACAACCAGGACAACGCCGCTGCGGACGATGCCGCGGCTGATGCCAACAATGGCAACGCGAACAACAATAACAACAATAACAACAACCAGAACAATGACAACAACAACAACAATAACAACCAGGACAACGCAAATGACAATGCGAACGCCGACGACAACGCCGATCAAGCAGCGGACGCCGACGCGGCGGCCGACTTTGTTGGCCTGGCTTGCACCGATGGAACTGGTGCTGGCGCTTGCCAAGCAGACGGCCAGTGCGATGTCAATGGCGACGTTAAGGTTGTCGCGGGTCAGTGTGGCCAGGCCGCTGCCGATGCCTAAAAGCAGGCGGTGTTACTATTATTGCGAGTAGCCAGGTGGTTAGTTAATGGAGGAGGTTTCTGTATATCGTATCGCGGCTCTCACATAGTGATCCTGAAATGCCAATAGTGTTGAATATAGATGTGGATTGGAAGAGAAGAAAGAGCTCACCACCGGTGTGGCTACATCTCTTGGTGCTCATGCTGGGAAATATTGGCGCTCATGTCGGGATTCGACCTCGCATACTTGTATGCGTTAAGTCTGTCGCCGAGCAGCTGGTTGGCGTATTTATTGATTGTTGACCATAAATCATTCCACCATCCAGCCGGTTTGTCCTGACCAGTCAACCTAGACGGACGCTTTCTGGCTGATGAGAGGAGTGGAATTGAGGGGACCCAAATGGGACTTCCTGTGTATATTCAGATGATGGAAGACGTGGGTTTCCAGACATCATCCCGCCTTTCTTCGGCCGCTCACTCGACACTGGCAGTATTCTCATGTTAATCTCGTTGAGCTGCAGTCAAGGGTGCTTCTGATTCGCACAATCTGGATGCCTTTAAATATGCTGATTCGAGAAGAGTGGTATTACAAGACTTGCGTCCCCGTCGTCTAAGTGAGTTTTGTTCTACATAGTGTACAATCTGAAAGCCTTTCTAGCTCAGATAAATCTTGATGGCCTCGTAACAGCCAATATACAACCCACCCCCAAAACCCGCCGCCAAAACCGTTACCGTGGCCCCTCTAAACAACCCTCGAACACCTTCTTTCAGGACAATCCCCCTGGCCACCGTAATCGGACCAATCTTTGCACGAGGAGAACTACTCGACGTCTTTGGCGAACCGTTCTCGCCAGTCACGTCTCCGCCAGCCGCGAGCCTCATCCTCGTCTTGACGACATCGATAGGCACAAACAAACTCGACGACGCGCTGCCGGCGGCAGCAGCGCACAGTCCACTCGCGAGAACCTGCTGCGACGCACTCCTGTCCTCGGCCTTCCCCTCCCCTCCGAGGAAACGTTCCTTGAGAGTCTCGTAAAGACAAAACGTCAACGTGGTATTGGGCAAATCACTTGCCACAAGTGCCGTATACCCAGCCCACAACTTGGTCGGCTGCTTCGCGAAACGCCTCAACGTGTTCATCATCGGAGACGTACCACTGCCCCCTCGCATTGACTGAGGAGAATCTCTCCGATACACCTGCGCATTCTGCTTCAACACCTCGGCAGGATTCGTAATAGCACAGCTAACAAGACTCGCCGCCGCGCCGCTCGCCCCGTACAAGACAGGCAACGGCACGCCAGCAAAACGGCCCTCCTCTTTGGCGCGCAGCGAGTAACCCTTGAGCCCCTCGTAAATCGTGAAGAAGGCCGCCGACGACGGTATGCTGGTGATGATGGTGGGGCCGAACCCCTGGTACAGCCCGAGGAAGAGCGTCCGGCTGACGGCGCCGTTGACGGATTTGTATTGCGTTGTGTACATTGGCGATTGCATCCGCGTGATGAGCGTGTCCATGGGATGAATGAGAAAGTCTACACTCAATGTGGCTCCCGCTGCGGCCTGCAAGTTTCTGTTAGTGGAGTCCTGTGATGGAAAGCTTCTGAAGGTTCTCAAAATGGCTGATTGCGGGATGAACTGACCGCGACGACCGCCTCCATCCCGATGGCAGACGACATTTTGGCCACCAAATGCTACAGAGCAATGAAGGGCTTCTTGTTTCATGAGAAGTTTCGATTGCGATGCATTTTTCTTAATTACTTCTCCCCCCCTGATGCACACGTGGTTTCTAGATACCAAGTTAAAACCCGTAGCGCGCGTTGACAAAATCTTGACGTTTTTTGGTGCCTCAGTGTCTACAAGGCAGCGGTGCCCGAGGATTCCGCGCCACCCGCCTAAAATTTCAGGTCTGCCCTGGCACAATCAGCGATAGAATCAATTCAGGACATTGACGATCGATGTGACGGATAAGCAAAAGCGCACACTCAGGACTGAGAATAGTAAAAGCTATTTGTCCATTCGCTGCCTACGAAAACAACTCATCGTCTGGTCCGTTTACCCCAGTCACGTATGCCTTTACCCGCTACTCACCGAGGACGGTATCATTCATTCGGGACGAAAGGACTTAGTATGACGTCGTCCCAAATACCGCGATACTCGCGACTGAGGGAGCTCAATTCTTATTGAAAGAAGATAAGCCACCGGCAATTGGCAAGCTGAAGTTACTGGATGTGGTCAATCTCAGACTGCTCATCCACTCCGCCGATAGCTTCGATTGGGGGAACAGGAATCTCTTGGATTGCATGTAGCCACAAATTGTTGGAAAGGACCGCTTCTTTGCCGGCATGCAGGGTCAAATTCTTGCACTCAATTGTCTTTGCCTACATTGTCTAGATGAGCGGCTGTGATGATCAAAGGCCTTTCAACTAAAGGAACATGGGTAGATCAGTCGAACATTCATAACATGTGGTAACTAAACAATGGAAGTGATTCAGCAACAATGGTCTTGTCTTAGGTACGCATCCTTCAGTCTATATAATGCCTTTTTTCTTGCTCACTGAGATATCAATCTACATTTCAAACCATTAAAACCAACCAACCAACCCGCAGCGTGATAACGTGCACTTCACAACTTTTTATCATAACAACCCCAGCTAAACAGAAACCATGTGCGGCATCAAACAAATCGTCGACCAGTGCAGAACCTGCTACGGCATCATCTCCAAAGAAGAGATCCCCACCATATGCCACAAGAGAACGTGGACATTGCCCGAAACCTTCGGACACGCAAAGGCATACTGTCCAGACCAAGGAAGGGTATACCTCGACAAGAAGCCAAGAATCAACCAGTGCCCGGTGTGTTACTGGGACTCATTAGATATCACAAAGGGGTTGGATATGCCCTGCCACCAGCGATCAGGGAGCAGTCTGGGCACTCGCTCGCTGTCACACGGTCTGGACCAAACCCGATCGACAAGCCCTTGGCAGAACACCAGTGTCCTCAATTTACCGGCTGAGGAGCCAAAAAGCGTGGCTGGGAAGGTGAAGGGGTTCTTTGGTAAGTGTCTTTTCAAGGTGATTCCTGGGTTCGGTAGGTCCTCGCAGTCTCCTTCGTCTTGGGCGGCACTCGATCAATGGGAGGATATTTGTGGTGATGAGGGTATTACGGACAAGAAGAAGAAAAAGAAAAAGGATGCGTCTATACCAACAGTGACGAGGGTGTAAGTACTTTAGAAAAATGAGATGAATGCCTTGCCTCTTGTCACGCCATCTCTCTAGCACAAAAAGTAGAAGTCATTTCGTATTTCTCATTACAATACGGACGGGTGTATGACGTTTTCTGCTTGCATATCTGACGGCTAGCCTCCTCAAAAATCGAACTGACTCTGATCTCTCTGCCGGATGAGGTATTGTACGGACTCTGTGGAAGTGGTGCTCCAAACTATGATATGACGTTGGCATCTCATCACATGATCACCCAGACAGTCATTACATACTGTCCATCTATAATGAAGACCTGGTCACTGACCAAGGTGACTACCTGCATCGGTCCCGGATCCGCACCAGCGAGATCAACACACCCAATCATCAACCGCCAAGGCTCGCAAAGGGTGCGTTCGTCCCATCAAGCAGGCAAAGAGCCAGAACGACAAATCAATAAAGTGACGAGCTCGTGTAGTTGCAGATACAACGCGAATCTGTGATGGGAAACCCGAATACGAGATGTGAACAGGGGGTAATCCTCCGTATTCGCACCGACTTGCAACCATCGTGCACTCATGATTCAAATGCGCTACAACCTCATGGCTCCAGCGCAGAGCTGTGATCTGCAGCCAAAGGCCGTCATCCATGACCAGAATTGAGCATCGCTTAGGAAATTATCTGCCTAGAGTAGACGATAAGACAATGAGGTTCCTCGGACATCGATACTTAGCTCAAGAGGGGCATTGGCGACTGTGACCTACCCTGCGTCGAGCGTCGATTCTACCAAAAGTCCCATAGAAGCACATGGCAATGAAGAATTCATCCTCATGATAAGCACAGCGACATATGCAGCAAGTCAGGGTCAATGAGCCGTGCCGCACGGGATGATCCCAGGCCAGATACCCGGGCCTTCTGAACCATAAGTAGTGGGGTGGAAGCGAACCGGGAAGCGGGGGGGATTCCCATGAAGATTTCGCGGGGAAGCTTCCATGAGATAGGGTAGGTAGTCCAACCATAAGCAAGAGAATATGACAAGAAAAACAAGACAAGCTAAATTCTTATGCAGTCTTACGAATACATGTACGGCCCCAAACCGAATACGATGGCACACCTCAAAGTCCCAGGGGTAAGAAGAGAAAGCGCCCTGGAGCGATCCACGGGCACGTCAACGGCGCCAAGGTCAGCGCCCAATCGAGACGTCTGTTTTCTACTTTCCCCCACCAAGGATCGCCCCGCAACTGCCCCTCCTTCCCGTCTGACGATGCAGAGCTCTACATAAATGGCCCACGGCGGCGACCTTCAATGACGCACGTGGAGGAGCTCTCACTCATTAGAAATCAAGAGCCTCTAAGACATCCTCACTCACTCTCACTCTCACTCTCACTCTCACTTACAATTCACTCACGACTCACGACTCAATCACGCAATCGACCTCACCACTTTATCAATCTTATCTAAGCTTAAAACTTTTGCCAAAGTCAAACCAGCAGAACCAAACCTTCAAGGTCTCATCCCGCAATCTATCCGCACTCGGGCCAAGCCCCTCTCCTCTCTCTCAACCAAACACAGACACCTGTCACACAACTCACACACACAATGGCGACCCGCCTCCCCGGCACGACCGTAATCGTCACCGGCTCCGGCGGCGGCCTAGGCAAAGCCATCGCCGAAGCCTACCTCGTCGCCGGCGCCAACGTCGTGATCTCCGACATCAACGAGGACCGCGTCGCCGCCGTCACCTCGGAATACCGCGACACCTACGCCGGCAAGCTCCACGGCATCGTCGTCGACGTCACCTCCGAAGACTCCGTCCAGTCCCTCATCAAGGGCACCGTAGAACGCTTCGGCCGCCTAGACGTCGTCGTCAACAACGCCGGCGTCATGGACAAGTTCGACCCCGCCGGCGACTGCACAAAGGAGACGTGGGACCGCGTCCTCGCCATCAACCTCACGGGCCCCTTCCTGACGACAAAGTACGCCGTCAACCAGTTCCTCGCCCAGGGCGGCGCCAGCGGCAGCGGCGGGCCCGCGGGCCTGATTGTCAATATCGGCTCCAACGCCAGCTACCGCGGCCTCGCTTCCGGCATCGCCTACACGGCGTCCAAGCACGGCGTCATGGCCGTCACCAAGAACACGGCGGGCTTCTACGGCGACAAGGGCATCTACTCGGTCGCGCTGCTGCTCGGCGGCATGGACACCACCAACATCATGGACGCCTTCGCCGAGGGCGTCAACCAGGCCGGCATGGCCAAGGTCACGGCGGGCATGCCCGAGTACAAGCGCGGCGAGACGGGGCTGGACCCGGCTGCTGTGGCAAAGTACTGCGTCTTCTTGACGGATAAGGATATCGCGTCGTCGGCGAACGGGAGCTGTGTCGTTCTCAACAGGAACTGGCCGCACGCCTGAGCCTGGCTTCTCTTCGTTGAGGTTTGAGGAAGAAGGGAGATCGCGGATGGGAAAAGAGCCGCGAGCATTGCTCATAAGCTTGTGATTGACGAGATGGCAGAGCAGCTTGAAGTAACCTAGATATAGGAAAGATACCTTATGAATGTTATTTATGATTACCAAACACCATCATCTGTGCTGGATCAATTGGCGTGTCATCGAGACTATTAGGGCTTCGACTCAAGTGTTTGTCCAAGCAAAAAAAGTCTGGTGGTGCTGTTCGCTCAGGTAGACTTCAATCACATTGAGACCATGCGTGACGATCAAAATCACTTCAGAAGCGAGTACCCGTGGTAAAAGGGTCAAAAAGAACGCAATCCTAACGAGGACAAAATAGAAGATGCGGCCAGTGTGGATTGAACACACGACCTTCAGATTAAGTGATTGAAGTTGACTTCAGTCTGACGCTCTCCCAACTGAGCTATGTCCGCCACGATCTTCGAGAAAGCGGGGCTGTTTGAGAGGTTAGATTGTCTTGCGCAGCGGGGCGCGCTCGCCGTCCGCGAAATTTCTGCCTTCGGAGACATCATTGGCAAATTCGATGGTCCCTGAGATGTCGTGAGAATGTGAAAACACGAAGTCCGAAAGAAACAAAGCCAAAAATGCTTTTGCCAGTGCGGCACAACACAAAGACTCTGGAAAAGGGTAAGGGGAGTAAATGGCACCAAGAATTGAGGGGTACCACCCATCTGAGCTTCTAGGCCACTTCCATGGTCAACCTTATTCTGAACGGAATAACAGCTGGTCAGGCGACGCCGCCTCCCATCTGGAGAAAAACCACAGTCAGAAAGTGAGGAAAAGTTGCGGGAACTCCAACTTTGTCTCGAGAGAACCTATCACCATCCTGGAACCGGCGGGTAGACGATCGTCTACTATCCCGACTAGAAAGGCATCTTGGTGGAATACGGGGGATTCTATCCGTATGAGCTGCCTTTTTCTACCTCTCGTAAGCTTCGTCCTAAACCACTTCCTATCTCTGCAATTCCATTTGCTAAGATGATTTTCCCAGGACGAGACTGAAATATTACCGTAATCAGATGAAGAAACTCCACGCTTAATGCACATACCAGTATCCCTGCTTCAAACCCAGTACCCACGATGGAAAGCCACTCACCCATCCCCTGGCAAAAGACCAATTCTCCTATCCCGCTCGTCCCTCAGATGCTTATCCTCTCCCTCCAACAACATCTTCTCCTCCACAAACGCGGCGTCACTAGTCCGGAACTTTTCCCTCATCACCCCTTTCTCCGTCATTATATCAGACCCGGACCCGGGCTCTAAAGGCTCTAACTGCAGCCGCCTTGGCGAAGAAGACGACGTCTCCTGGGCAGGCGAGACCATCACCTCAGGCGGCCACAATATCCGCCTCGCCTCATCCTCGCTCAACACCTCGCCCTCGTCCTCTGAGCTCTCATCAAACGCAGAAACGTCGTCGCCGCCGCCGCCGCCTCCCCCACGCCCAGGTCCAGGCGACGAAGGAACCGCCAAGAATACATCCGTAACAGTCTCATCCTGCGTTCGAACCAGCCGGCCATCCAATCCATCGTCAGAGACAACATGTTGAACGGCCTCCGCCTCCGCCTTCATAGCGTCAGCATCCCCCTTGGGCACCTTATTCTCCCCCGCCGCGACGACATCCATAGAAGTCAACTTCATCAACGTCCTCAACCTCGCGTCCCCGACGAACCGCCCCATCAAGACCCCCTCGTTCTCCCGAAACGTCTCATAAAATCTCCGATTCACCATCGCCGCTGCGCGCAGGTCCCCCACACTCTCCACGCACCTCTCCAAAATCAACAACCGTACCGCGTCAGACCTCTCGAGGACCTTGCCCTGTTCCTGGTCCTGCTTTTGCCCCCGTTCCTGTTCCAGCAGCTCCTGTATTCCCTGCTGCCCAAGCTGCAGATCAACCTTCTTCCCGTCAGAAAAACTCCTCAACCCCCTATGTAAAACAGCCTGCGGCTGCGTAGACCGGTGCCGCGATAGCCCCCACCCGTGAGCCCGTCCACTGACATCATGCAACGTCAATCCAGACACGCTATTGTAAATATCATTAATCGCCGCGCGAAACGCCGGCGCGGGATCGCATACCCCGCCCTTGTGAACCGCCAGCGGCGGACTGGCAATGGTCCGCAACAGATCGACGAGCTGTGCCAGACTTCGACGAGGTGGTGAGTATTGCGGCTGCTGGGAGCCAGCTGCCAGGTGTCCGAGAACCGACGAGTTCATGATGGTGGGCAGAAGCTCCAGCTCGCCGTAAACGAGCATCAGCCAGCCCAGATTCGTCGCGTCGCAGCTGTGACTTCCCTTGGGACACCTGGGCGTGCTGGTGAACATCAAGGCCGGGTTGGCAGACGTATTCGTCGCGGGCGTGGACGCTACCTCAACGGAAGACGAATCCGAGCCCGGTGGCGGAACAGCACGACAAGGCGGCCTCAGATACTCCCGAATCGTACTCACGCAACACTCCTCAACCTGCGCCATCTTCGCCCCCCTCACCCCCCAAATCTTCTCCTTGATCCTCCTCGGCCACGCCACGTGCATCCCCTCCAACTCGTCCTCGTCCACAAGATTCA